AAGCAACCATAAACTCTGGAGTGGCAGAAGCGGCCGATGGAGCAGCTGCTGCTGCCGAAGAGGCATTTACCGCGGGTAGAGGCAACCATCGCATCGATGATATCGACATGGGTAGTTACTATGGGTATGGTCGCGGCCAAGTGTGGAACGCGCCAACAATCCCACAAGCTCCAACCTTCAAGGGATCGACAAAGTCGGAGCGACGCGTTTTTATGCGCGAGTACCAAAAGTACTTGGCGCAGATCAATGCCCTGCAATGCATAGGATTGCGTTCCTTTGTGATGCCCGTGGGTGCCTGCATGAACCCGTTCTCGAAACGACGGATCGCCATGTTTGACCTCACAAGGACCACAACCTTGTTTCGGAAGTGCCGAATGGATCGCGTGGTTTCACGCGGCATTCGAAGAAGATCCCCAAGATCTGGACGACCTGAAAAAGCGACTTGTGGCCGCTATCCGATTTAACATGAAGACTTTGGACGCCGAGTCCAGAGTTGGTCGTATGCTGGACGACCTTGTGCGTGTGTTGGAGCAAGATCACCAAGAATGGGTGCTCCACCAAGAGGGCAAGGTCGTTGTCGAGGCGATGGCCGTGCTATCCGACCTGAAACGTTGAAGATTGCGGTGTACAAGCAGTTACATCTTCACCGAAACAAGGACTTGAAAAGCGGTGTATTTCGTTTTGTCAACTGGCTCCGACGGTTTTCCGCTGGTTTCCAGCTGAATTTCGGTCTAGAAAAAGCAACGGCTGATCCGCATGCATCGAAAACGGGTGGTGAAAGAGGCATCCGCGGCAGAAGAAGTGATGGCGGCAGTCGCAGTGACGGGCGTCGTGACGGCGGCACGAGGAACGCCCTGAAGGCGCATCCAGTAGAGAAACCAGATGCCTCGGGCGACAAGGACGAAGTGGTGCAGAAGATGCAGCCCGGGGGATGCTTGAAGTGCGGTGACAAGAGTCACTAAGCTGTGGATTGCCCAAAGGCTGCACCTGGCGAGGCGCAGCTTCTGTTGACGCGTTCGTCAAGAAGCGCCAAGGCCAGATCAACGTGCTGGCCGCCAAGTCTAATCGCCGAGCTACGAACCGCGTTGCCTTGGTAGAAGACTCTGTCCGAGTCGAGAATATCTTGCTCGACTCGGGGGCGGATGTGAACGTCGTTTTGCGCGGTGTTACAAAAGCATTGACAGCGGCAGCCGTCCCTCTAGAAATCGTGGTACAAGACAAGCCACAGCTGGTCTTCCACTATGGAGAGACGGCTGCACCGCAGAAAATGTCGCGACGCGCCGCGTTCGGCAAGTTAACCCTCGATACGGCGTGCGGTCCGCTTGTCCTCCGTGGCCTGAAGGCCTGGGTCGACTACACGGCCTCATCGATCGATCTAATCATCAGTCGTCCCGTCATGGAATTCCTCGGTTTCTCTATGGACGACCTGCTCGTCGAAGCGCGGCAGCAGAAATCGGAGTGGGATGTGTCTGATGGCGTGGACATCCCCTATTCCAACATGGCGCGTGTGACGCGCCTAATGGCCGAAAGTAGGGATCCGCCTGATCCCTGCCTCGAAGACAGCGATGCAGTGTGCCACACCTGAAGTCATGAACTCGACGATTGTCGAGGACAACGAAGAGGCACGTCGCGAGAGGCGCGACAGTGTGCTTAAGGTGCAAATGGCCAAAGCGGGCGAAGCTCAAGGGCGTGGGCTCGACGCCAAGGACTTGCATCGCCTGACGTCGAGTTTACGGAACCACGTCGACGTGTTCCGTGAAGACCTTGGTAATGAATCGTCTGTGAAGGTAGAGCCCTTGAAGATGCGGATCAAACCCAACGTGAGGCCGGTAAAGTGTGGCATGCGACGATATCCACCAGCGCACGTCGAGTACATGCGCGAACATGTCGAAGCGCTGGAAGCGGACGGTATGGTGTACAAGAACAGCCGGTCAACGTGGGCCTTGGCGCCCCGCATCGTGCCGAAGAAAGACGCAGGCGCGCTGCGAAGGACGACTGATAGTCGCCCTATCAACGCGTGCACGGATCCGATGCCGTGGCTCATGCCTAACCTTGATAGCGCACTCGTTTGTCTCGAAGGAACGTGTGTCTACTTCACCTTGGACTGGACCAAAGGGTACTGGCAGCTGCCGTTGCACCCTGACTCACAAGAATATTTTTCTTTCATGACCCCCTTTGGC